CATCTTTGTGAATGTGACAGTCTCTTGTTCTCACAGAGCATTTGGCCACAGCCCACCACCACTTCAGATAAATGATCGGTTTGTGGTCACTGGTCCGTTACTGACTGGAAAGCCAGGCTGAGTTTCATGTAGTCACTATCTGTTTGAGTTTGTCTGTAGACCACCGGCTCCTCCCTCTCGGTGATGGGTCTGCTCAACATCGATGAAAATGTCAAACTACTCCCCCAACCCCCCAACCCCCCAACCCCCCCTTCTCAGGCCACTGTCACCTCACCCCCTCACCACCTCCTGCCGTTTTTTTTTTTTACTTTTAAAGACAAGGCAGTGATGTGTGTGCTCACTGTCAGTTTCACAAATGCAGTGTGAACAGGCAAGGCGAAGGTGAGTCTATGCTGATGTGCTCATATTGAAATATTTTTTCACTTTACTTGAATATATGTAACCGTCTATTCATTGTTTACCATAGTGTTAAGTTACAAAGCCTCCGGTACAACCTAGTCATTGCTGTATCACTTAGAAATTGCATAGTATAGTTTAGCTCTCTGACATTTGTTAGAGCACAAAAGTTAAACATTCAATGAGCTATTATTCTGTAAGTCACGAGCATTCATCTATAAAGCACATTTAAGAACAACAAATGTCAACCACAGCATTGTTTAGTTATGATCATTCTGGAGACCCAAACGCAGCTGTAAAAAGATTGGTCTTAAGACAGGATTTAAAAAATGGCAATGGACTGGAAAGATTTGACAGTAAGGGTTAAGATGTTACACAGTATGGGGGTTCACCTTTGGATTTTGACTAAGAACATAGAATAAAGGGGAGCAATTGAGCTAAACGTCAAAAAAGCGTTAAGTTGGAATAGAGGCCAACGAGATCTCAGATATAAACACTGCCAATCCATACAGTGCTTAAAAGGAAATAAAAGATTCTTTAAAAAATCAGTGCCATATTTTATTGGTTACTCTTGTTGCTAAAATTGAAGAGATTCTTGACAAACCGCAGGCAAGACTAAGCAGATTGACTGACGCAGAGAAAGAAAGTTACAGCAGTCAAGATGCGATGAGATGAAAACATGTAAAATCTCCTGAACCTAAGAAGACAGATATGGTTTATAAATATGGGAAACGCTACTACTAATGACAGAGTTTGTGTAAGGCAGATTCAAAAGTGCCAACCAGATGTTTGAATGTTGAGGGACATTTGACCAAGAATGTTAATTAAACCAACGATGTAAACTGAAGGGCTGGAAAGTAGGAGTTTTGTCTACTCTTATTTATCTGTGAATGGAAATGCTCCGTACTTGTATAGCGCCTTTCTAGTCTTTCCAGTCACACAATGAGCCTAAGTGCTCAGACGGAAACTAACATTCACACTCACTCATACATTCGGGGTTCAGTATCTTGCCCAAGGACACTTTGACACGCAACCAGGGGGAGCCAGGAATTGAAACACCGACCTTCCGATTAACGGCCAACCCGCTCTACCTCCTGAGCCACAGCCACCCCTGTGGAAAGTTTTAGGCCATCCACTACTTGACATCCATGTGGCAAATGATAAGAGACTTGAGGATGCCCTGCTGAGTTTTCTTGCAAGATATGTTTTTACTAAAACACATTGTGTGTGTCCTTGAGGTCTATCAAACTTGTTGAATGCATTTCCTTCCTCATAAAACATTCAGAAAAACAAAACAAACCATGGGTTGTCATGTTTTGTAAAAGCAGACTCTAGTGAAGGTATAATAAAAAAAAAACGTCTTAAAAAAGGAACTTGAGGTACACCACAAGAGAAAGAATCAAAGGAAGGCAAAGAGTTTCAGTCAAACTGAACCTGCAGATAAGAATCCAGTCACAAGACCTTACCTTGATTATGAACTACATGATTTAAGAAGCCCAAGATAACAGAAGGGAAAACTTTATCAAAAGCAACAGAGGGGTTAAACAAAATTAAATTAATGTAATTCACAATTTCTGAAGACATCACAAGGTGATTTGTTACCCTTAGGAGAGCAAGCTATGTCGACAGTGTCTAGAAGATAAGCTATGAAAAGACCTAACCAAGACCTTAGATAAAAATTCTGAAATGGTAAATTATAAAGTACAGTCAGATCTACAGAAGGTTTATGTGATCAAAAATGTATCACTGCATGTTCGAAGGAGGATGTGACATAAAGATGGAGTACTTTGTTTATTATCACTCCATTCCACTGGGGTTAACACCTTTTTAATGTCTCCAACGACTAAGTGTTGGACTATTCAACTGCTTTACTTCAGGTTTGTTCAACAAAAATGTTTTTTTTTCAGGATCAACCATCAGTTTGCATCCATCATCAGACTTAACAACAACATGTTTCTGTTGAATATTTGCGTCTGTGCCGGCCTCATGCTGTCCCTCCCTCAGTGTACGTATCAGTCATGCATGGAAGGGACACCCAGACAGTGCCTGGATGCGGAATTTGCTCCAGGTACCAATTTGGCCGGGGAAGGCTTCGACATTACCAAAATGGAACGTAAGGGGGCCTTTGTGCTCGACATGAATCAGTGGAAACGCAAGGACAAAACATGCACCCTGTGTAGCAACCCCTATCTGGAGAACAAAAAGCAAAAGCTCCCCTTGTCAGTGGAGGACTGGAGGGCGAAACACTCCTGCAGCATGAAAGTGGTCAGTAATCTCCACAGATCTAGTGAGTCTCTGGTCAGTTCCAGCTCCTCTTCGGTGGAAAACAACTGGCAGGCCAATCTAGATGTTAATGTTGGTGAAAAAGGAGGCTCAGTGATGCTAGCTGGAACCAATTCTAAGTTAGCTGAATACTCCATGGAAAAAACGAAGAATGACAAGTTCAGCTTCACAAGCCAAAGCATGTCCTGCGAGTACTACAGGTAAGAAGATGGGGACTGAGATGAAACTTTTCTCCACACACTCTCTTACATGCAAAGATTTATGCAAAGGAACTAAAGTAATGTACTTTAAGGCTCAAATACAACATTGTGGTCTTTCTTTTATTGTCCGAAAACAGCTACCGAGTGTCCCTCAGTCCCAAGTTGCACAGAGAATTTCGCAAAGCAGTGAAACAGCTCCCCAAAATCTACAGCCCTGAATACAAGCAACGATTCTACAAACTGATTGACAACTTTGGCACCCATTACCTCAGCAAGGTGAATCAAAATGATGGCGTGGTTGTTACAAAACAAAATGCAATTTTATCACATTTAACACATTTTCCTATGTGTGTTAAAATATATCATTCCAGGTGAAGTTGGGAGGAAGCGTTCAATCTGTGACCAGCATCAGGCAGTGCCAGGCCAGCCTGCAGGGCCTCAGCGCAGAGGAGGTGCAGATGTGCCTGGAGGTTGAGGCGTCCGCCACATTCAAAGCTACAGTAAAAACTCAATCAAAACACTGCAAGAAGGACATAGAGAAGACGGACAGTAAGTCAGCCTTCTCCAGCCTCTTCAATGACAGGTAAAAAAACATTTTCTCACATCAGTTGACCGAATACACTTTCATAAATTATTATTTTCAGCACCAGAAAAGCCTTGTTGGCGGAGTTCTTTAAGCAACTCTCTCCTCTACAGGTTCACAGAAATAAAGGGGGGCCATACCACGGAGCCAGACCTTCTCTTCTCTGCTGACAAAAATCCATCAGCCTACAAAGAATGGCTGAACACACTGCCACAGAATCCAGACATATTCTCTTATTCCCTGGAATCGCTTCATGAGTTACTGCCTACAAACACCCCTGTCAGGAAGAACCTGCGCTCGGCCATTAGCCATTACATCCTGGAGAAAGGCCTGTTGAGGAACTGCAGTGAACGCTGTCAGGCCGGCATCAAGAGTGACCCGAGGGATACCTGCGTCTGCCAGTGCCACAATGACCCTGCTGTAAACCAAGACTGCTGCCCAACCCGTAAGGGCATGGCGCGGGTTATAATAACTGTACAACGGGCGTCCGGTCTTTGGGGAGACCACACCACAGCCACAGATGGCTATGTGAAAGTGTCCCTCAACGGGCAGATGGTCCGTCGTTCTCCCGTCATTTACAACGACAACAACCCACACTGGGGCATGATCATCGACCTGGGCTCCCAGGATTTGTCAGCGGGACATCGAGTGAGATTTGAAGTGTGGGATGAGGACAACAACTGGGACGACGACCTGTTGGGACAATGTGAGAAAGATCTGTCCGCTGGAGTCATGGAGGATCTCTGTAACCTGCAACACGGCCGGCTCTTCTACAAACTGGAGGTGAAATGTGCTCCGAGTCTGAGTGGAAATTCATGCGTGGACTACAAACCTTCACCTATGAGTCAAAGTCTGAAGAAGCTGTATGTGTCCCGTCATGCCCACCCTATTCCAAAGGTCATCCTGTCACAGATGGGTGTGTTTGTGGATGAAAAAAGCTCACAGAGAAATCTTACTGCATAGAGTCAAAAGTCTGATATATAACACCCGTGTTTAGCTTTACTGCGGCTTATTTAGCAACATCACTATTTTTATTAGGTGTATCGATGAGGTTAATTTAAGCAGGACCTCTTACCCATAATTGACACCCCCACTAAACTCTACTTATGTGTTGACAAAGCAGCTCTAACTTAATTATTTTAAAGTGTTATTTTTTTCAGTTGCAGATTTGAAAAGTACATATTTGTTATGTATTGTGCAATCATTATGTAGCATTTTATTATCTATACAAACATTTATTACATCAAATAGTGTGTTTTATGTAATTTAATCACGTTATCTTGTGGATTTTTGACATGTTTGTTTATCATGAATAAAAGCTTAGTATATGAACTGTGCTATTTGATGTTTCATCACATTACTTTTAGTTTTTATTTGAGTGTTCATGTTCCGTTCGTCTTCGACAGTGTTACCCGACATGAGAAAGGAAGTGGTAATATTTCCTGTGTGCGGATGAGGCTTCACGATGCTATTAAAAAGAACAATGTGTGCTGGTAAACATTATGTATGCTGTTTTTACTCAGAAGCTTCTATTCAGCATCATTTGACATAGACTTTATTGAATTCAAAAAGTAAAATCCTTTTATATCCTTTATATAACATAGAGACAATTTTTTTGCACTTAACATCTATTTATGTGAATTAGTCTCCACCAGTGTTTTCAGTGTTGACAGAATAAGACTGGTGCAGGTTTTGGACCTACAAGACAAAGAGACATTGTGTAACAAATGTCCACTTACAGAGAAAGACAATGGTGTCAAGAAAAATCAAACAAAAGACAAAACAGACAACACAACAAGACAAAACAGAGTGAAACACACAAAAAGCTTTAAAAATACTGAACACATTATGGAAATGATCCACTTGAAGAAGTCCACGTCATTTGAATTAGCCTGGTTAATAAAGACAGACAAAGAGAGCGGGCAGTGGGGGGTGGGAACACAAAGACAATGAATCAGGAAATATAAATGAATTTGATTGGTTGATAACAGACACAAGTAAGGTAAAGTGTTTTATATTCAGTCCACTTTTCTTTAAAAGTGAAAGGTTCTTTTTAAGGTTTCCTGATGTTTTTGCTTGACCTTCCTGCACCAAATATAAAACTTTCTTCATTCTCACCTTTGTATCCATTTCCAAGGGCAGCATTGACTCCGCCATATTTGCCAGGTTGCTCTCCTGTGAAAGAATCAACCTAGTTCAATGTTATGAATGTGGTCAGAAGAAAACATACCCTTCAGTGGAAAATGATCCATAATATACGCAGTTGTACTTTTTGAGTGAAGGCTATTTCAATCAAAGTAAATGTTCAGAGCACTTAAAAAGAACAATTATGAGTACAGTATTAATAAAATTAATAAAAACAATAGCTTCACTTTGTTTGTTTTACTCAGGAAAGAATGTTTGAAAGCATAGGGATATTTAGACCCACGGAAAACCACACAGTAATTAGATATGAAAGCTATTGTGTAGCACAGCAAAATGTAAAGCACAATATGTGCTGTCACTGTAATATCATGCTAGAAGACATGAAAAATTAAGGTCACCAGAAACGGCAAAGTCAGTGGAAGTTGATCATAAATGACGATGTCTGGGGGTTTCTTGCTTACCCAAGGCATCTTGAGTTGCTCCTAGCTGTGCGCCGTAACCTTATCAAACACAGGCAAATAAGTTACATTTTTCAAACAGACCAAGACAAAAGGCACAAAATACATTTATGTTGTGATTTGGTGTTATTTGGACATCAGGAGTAGCTGGAGAAACATGTGCTGCTTTAATTTAAAATTAAAATTCTCAAATATGCAAGACATACTAATAATAAAAAGGTGTATTACTGTCATGCTGATTCAACCATCTCTGTTAATTGCAATGTGATGCACTAGTGTGACAAAAGACATAAAGGATTTGTTTATTTTGGGAAAGAGAGTCAATGAAAAATTACCTGCTTGCTGAGCTCCATATCCTGCTCCGGCTCCTGAAACAACACAAAACATGTAGATAGTTGGACTACAACAAAGATGCTTTGGATTAGCATTATCAGAGCGAATAAACAACACGCAGACATCTAGTTCACTCTACATGGAAAGCAAACTGTTATAACTATATTACAAACTACATGTTGATTTTGCACAAAGTTCTGTATACTTATTGATGTCTCATGTACGGCGCAACATGCCAAAGTCCATGCAAGGGGACCCACGGTGTATGTAGATAGAAATGGCTCATTCTAAGGTAATAAAAACATAATGGTTCATTATGTAAGGTCTTTCTACACTACTGAAAACATATATATATATATATATATATATATATATATATATTATATTGCATTTCTGTAAATAGATTCTCCTAAATATTACACACTGGACATTTGAATCGTATTATTCAGTATAAGCACTGAATGGGTGTTGATGAGGGCTGGATTGCGTGTACATTGTTGTTACAGGCTGGTTTGTTGATACGTGACCCTCGCATTTGATGTTAGTATGGTAAGGACTCAATCAGACTCATTCTGTGATGTCTGGGTGTAGTTTGATGTGGTTATATCAGATGATCTGACTTAAGCAAGTAGGCCTACATGCTTGCAGCTATGAATGTTGTTGGTTTTTTTACAACAAGAGTAAGTCCTTTCTTTGAGGTATGCGCAAACGCCCCTCGCACCAAAAAAAAAAGAATTAGCCCCCCCGAGAGCCATAGTATAGTATGCACACTGTGTAAGGGTAACAAAGATAAGTCATAATGGACAGAGATATTGCACACACACAGATATGACACACAGAGACACAAACACACACAGCACAGCCTCATAGATTAGCTTCACAAGACATATTTCTGATGTCTGTCCCATAATGCAAAGACAGAAAGCATTCATATTCACCGGGAATCTGATGAGTTCAAGACTGAAACTGAAACTGAAAAATCAATGGTATGTTTTCTTGATTAATTTTAGCCTTTTTAAAGTTGTTACCTGTTTTCACTATTATCTAGGACTTATGTGGTTAGATAAATATTAGCCACCACGCTGCTGCCTTACAGAAACAGTGAAAAAGTACTTTTTCCATTACCTACAGACTCTCACACTTTATAGCTCAAACACTCAGCTATTCTCACCATATTTGTTGGCGGTTTTGGCACCTTCAGCCCCGAGGCCAAGCTGCTGAGCAGCATATGGGTAGGCACCATCACCTGAGGGGATGACAAATCTGTTAAGTGTCTAACTGTTCTGGTAGGTGTGATAAACTAACAGAGTGGCTCAAAGGATACTAAAAGTCAGCACCCACCCAGACACAGCCCGTTCACCCTGCTATTATACAACCCTGTTGTAAAATGACAAATAAATTTATCTTGTGCCTTTTATTTGTACACCAATAAACTGAAATTTCCGCTTACAGATCACATGTGAAAGATACACGCCAAAGTGTCCTGAAAATGACAAATGAAGTGAAGGAGAAAAAGGGGACCCCATTTATTTTTTAACTCCGAACACCCTGGAGTGTTTTATTATGCCTTGTGCAAAAAGAGACACTGTTTATCCAAGGAAGGTTAAAATCAAGGGCAACTTGACTTGGTTTTAACCTTTCTTGAAGTGCAACCCAGATGACAGAGACTCTTCACAGACAGACACTGTTTATTAAATCCTCATCTGTTTATTCCATAGACTGTAGAAAACATGAATGTAATTTCAGTGACTTCAGCGATTGCGAAGCTTTAGTGAGTTATGTAAAAATTCGCCCCTGTACAGTTGTCATGAACGGGGAAAAACCAAAACAGTTTTTTTTACCAGGCTTTGGATTCAGCCTCAAGTGGTCATTCAAGGAACTGTAGTTTTTGGTGCTTAGCGTAGGTGCCATTTTTTTAGCCCCGGAGAGTGCCGCTCTCCGGGGCTAGTTTATTCAAGTTTTTATAATGAGTTTTACTCATAGTCAGATCCAATAATACTAGATTAAGATCCACTAGTGTTATAGCTTTAGTAAGATGTACTTAAGTAAGATGGTGTGTTTTGGGAAATATGTTTAATCTTGCTTAGAGTTGGGAAGGTCAATAACATTCATGTGTGGTTATTATGTAGCTTGAGTCAGGCATCAGTTAGCTTAGTTTAGTTTAGCAAAATGACTTGAAACAGCAAGCCAGCCTGTGGAAAGATAACAAAATCCATCTACCAGCTCTTCTAATTATCATGTTATATATATTGCGTGTTATAATCTGTGCAAAAACCAAAGTGAAGAATGACAATTTTTACTGCATATTTTAACTGCATAAATGTAACAGGTATGTTGATCTTCTCATCAAGCTCTGCATGAAACGTCAGACTATTTCCAACGGTCATAGCACATCTCATTATGTACGTAAGTTTTATATAAAGTAATATGATGCGTAATAGAACAGCTCTTACCATCCAGTCCAGCAGGAATCACTGGTGCATTACCATAAGGAACCTGAGCAGCTCCTCCTCCTGCAGGAAAAAGATCAGATGGGCAAAATGACTCATCTGACTTCTCTATTTTCACCCTTCCACCTGCACAGGCTGTAAATCAGCTCCGTGGAATCCACTAGTTCAAAAGTCTGACTCATGCATATAAAGCCACATCGACAGGAGCTTGACTAATAGAGTCAAAGAAGGATGATGTCATGTCAGCACTGCTCACCATATTTGCCACCAGTTGATTCCAGTCCTGCACCAAGTGCTCCTGAAAGAAGAGAAGAGGGCCTTCAGTGACAAAGTTTTAATTTATCAGAAAATATATTCATACTGAAAACGTAAAACGTTTTTTCAACAAAGTAATAGATTTGTGGTAGACAGATATTAGACAACACAGAATTTATGAGGCTCTAGCTTTTATGCTAAATATGTGATTGGACATTATATCTGATTGTAACTACGCTGCTATTTAGAACTAGATGTTCAACTGATCCCACGACCCTGTACGCAGGATAAGCAGTTGGATGGATGTTCAACTAATAAGTTACTATGAACAAACTTAAGCCATTACAGAGCCTTCAGCTTGGCACGCTGCGAAGAGGACAATTGTTTATTTATATTATCTTTTCCTCTAGTTTAATTTTAAATTGTATGAATTATATTGTGCAGCCATTAGGGAGGCATTCACACTCTCAGTGCTCTCTAGTATTGCCATGCGTTGTGTCCATGTAAACAGTGCGCAGCAGCCAGAGAAATAAACGGTGCTCCATCCTTAAATCTCTTACCATACGCCCCCTGGCCCTGTCCGGCATAGCCTCCTGTACTGAGGGCTAGAAAAATCAGAAATACATTTACATGAGAGTCAGGTACTGTTCAATCCATTGACTGATTGACAAATTTAAATAAAACTGAAAAGCATCTATGTTAGCAGGACGTCAGAAACCACCAGATTAAACTGGTCAGCTTCTATACATAAGAGGCAATAGCTACACCAAGTGGATGAAAGACAACACTGGACATGTTAAGCAGAGGAAGTGTGCTTCCTTGACGTCCTCTTATTTTTTCAGCTGTCAAACGTCGCAGGTTAAAGCATCTACGGGTTAGTGCCACCTGTTATAGGTTTCAGCAGGTTATAACTCCTCAAAACTGTTACCTTCACTCTTCCCTGCTTTGTTCTCAGCACCATCAGCTAACTCTGCAGGGTAACCAAGCCCTGAAACATAGTTCTAATTAGCATTATATTATGTCTGTGAGCTAATAACTCTTTAAATGGAGCGAGCTTCTCTTAAATTCCCTTCTTTTTTCTTTAAATGGCACTCACCAGCCCCGTAACCATCGCTGTAACCATTCCCATAACCTGTTGAGAGAGGGGACTATATGTTAAAACATTTAAGAGGAACATTTACTGAATTCAAAGCTAATATTTTTAACTCAGTGCTGTATTTGACATTTCTGACTGTACCCAGTAACAAAAGGAAAGGAAATGTTCAAGAGAGTCTTCAGCATGCATGTGAAATACCTGTAGACAAAGCTTTTGCACCAGCATCTCCACCTACAGTGATAACAGAACAAAGAAATTCACTCAACACAAAGGATCGGCCTGTCTTAACTGAATAACGTCTGTCCTGACAGTGATGGCTTTGATGCAGTGACAACAAGAAGGAGGAATGATCCCCAGGCAGACAATTTACATTTCAAGCATAAAGTTTAGATTTTTTTATTTAAATTGTCTTCTATGCTTCCTTCTGTAACTCACAGAGTACACAATTTGACTAGTAGAATTTGAATTTCTATTTGTGGATGAGTTGCCACTTACCGAAGCCATTGCCTGCCACAGCACCCAGGTATCCTGTTGCTCCCTCACCATAGCCTGTGATAACACACATTCAAAACATATTGTATGGGACACAGACTCTCAGAACTTTTGTTTAACAGAAGACATCAATATTTAACTTGGGACAAACATGAAACAACACAAAACCATACCATACCATCAAAACAAAATAAATTGTTTTGATGGAATGACTTGCATGCATATGAAAGAAGAGGAAAAGACATCCACAGGAGTAAAATCTGATCTCTAATCCTTTGTTGTTGTTGTTGTTGTTGTTGTTGTCTTCTACTTTTTAAATGCACTATCAATAATTCACCAGAAAGGAAAGGAAGATACTAACGCAGCTTTTCCTCTGACCTTTAAAGGAAGGTTGAAATGAACTCAGACACAGCTTGTTTTTTCTAGAAAGACTCATAAGCAAATGGTTGGTTTACAAGGCAAATTAGGAGAAACAGCTGATTCTCTGCTGTGTGACACATGATCTACTGTGCACCTTCAGCTCCATTCACATTTTGAACATTCAGATTCAGTTCATCATTCATCATTCATTTGCATAGGGTCATTGGGAGCAATGTGTAAGATATGGCCAGACGTTTTGTTTAAAACATTTAAAAAATGGACTATTGCTATCAATAAAATGTGAAGAAATAACAGTTCTGACATTACGTCAAAGATATTGTTTTGCAGAGTTATCTACTAAAGTTAGCACATTAACCAGCTAGCCCCAGCCCATCCTGTCTCTTATACCACTTTGTACTTCATGAGGCAAGTTTGTTGTCTTAGATTTTTAAGTCTAACAAATAAACAAAACATACTCACAAAATGTCAAGAAAGGAAATATTCATACAATGGCTGTTTCTCTTATCAAACAGATAAATAGAACCGTACACCTTCTCAATTCAAGCTTCTCTCTTTCATCGAACTAATTGCCTTTTTAACTCATCTCAAAACATATTTCATTCAAACTCCACAGTAACAAAAAAAAATTCACCAAAACCGTTGTGGTTAGTGTTTCCACTGTTCCAACAATCACCAATCTGGTTTGGTTGAAATAAACCCTTAGATGTGAAAATATTCTGGCTCTACAAGCTGTTGCTGCCTCTCTGATGCCCGAGCTCCCTCTCGCTCATCTCCCACTTCACACCCCTCCTGTCGCCACCTGAACTCGGAGTCAAAGTCCTCGCCAGAGCCGCTGTAAATCACCTAGGTACTGTATTCCCTGTCATCAAACTGGCCTCCGTCGGTCTCTGAGGCTGTGTTTGGTCCCAGTCGGCCAGTCGAAGTTAGTTGCATGGCTGAGTGAGCTGATATGTGAAATGCTGCCTCCTATATTTTTTGGAGTATGAATTTGTGAAGGTGGAGAGTAGTTTCAATTCTTACACATTGTACCTTTAAGAATCAAAAGTTAGAGTACAAATTGAGATTGAAAATGTATCAGAAAGTAAAATTATTCCACAGCCTCACCAGTTGACCTGCCGGCAACTCCATGGGGATACCCACCCTGTCCAGCAGCAGCAGCTGAGAAAGTTGGGAGTCAGGACAAAAGTGGTGCAAAAGGAAAGCATGAGAGCATAAACCCTAAATTGTAACAAAGAAAAGAAAAAAGTATGAAAATATACATCCTTACCTGCATGTTTGCCAGCTGCACCACCAAGGTATGCTCCCTGTCCCAACCCTGTAGGCAGGCCATGGGAATCTGTTAGCACAGGTAGTGTCAATTTTACATCACCATCTCCATCACTAGCAGCATGTTAACTTTTCCTGCGTTGCATGTCAGTGCTTAATATTACCTGGTCCATAGCCCCCTGCACCCAGGCTTGCTCCCAGATAGTTTCCTGCGCCACCCATATAACCTGTGGAGGAAGATAACGCAGGCTCAGCAAAAATCACCGGTAACTTGCTGTGGGCTAGAGGGACATGACCCCTGATTTCTGTATAAAACACCAGTGCCAACATAAATATTGATCCCTCAGTACTGCTTTTGGCTGAAAGTCATGTTTAAATCAAAATCACATTTTAAACACATGATAAAACTGGGACATAACATCCCGCCTCATTCACTTGTTTCCATATACAGAAGATACAGAGGTTGCTGTTGAGGGAGTTTTTGACATGTACAGCTACCAGTGGAACAAAAACATTTTTTAACTTCCTCTTCATTGGACACTGACTCTCACACAGCAATAATTATTGATTGGCTCAGACACAATAATCAGTTATGTGTCACACCTGAACAAAAAAGCAGATACTGATTTTGTAAATATGGATGATGCACAAAGACTGAGTTGCTCTTTATCAGGATAAACTGCAGGCATGCAGCAGTTCTTTCAATTACAGTTCATTTGAATTCCCACAAAAATATGTTATTTGAAAGAATGTATGAACTTCTTCCTATGTATTACTGTAAGATGCATATTTTGTTAAATTTAACTAAACTCTAACCATGGCCTAAAGCACAACTGCAGCACTCTCTAAACACATAGACATGACAAGTAGGCATCAAGGCACCAATAAAGAAAAAGATTAAATCAACAGTGAGGGCGAGAAACACTGAAGCATCTGTACAATGTGCCATTGCCTTCAGTTAACAGGGTAAATATGGAATCAGCATGGGAACTGCTCCCAAACCACATACACAATGCTATCCATTTATCAGATAATACCCAATAAATACATCATATTCAGAATCATAAACGTCAGCAAAAATGTACACATCCATTAATAAACAAACAATAACAAATTTAATCAATGCAAAATCACAGAGCAAACAGTGTTTGCATATCCAGGGTTGGTGTCTCCTATTACACCGTGGATCATTTCCAGATAAATATCTAGATAATGCACCTAAATCTCTTCTGCCATCTGCAAAATATGCAGAAGACGAAAAAACTTTGAAGCTAGCTAAGAAATGTGTTTAGCTAGCCCAGCTAACTATCAAACAACTGGTACAATCACATGGGTTACTCACACAGACTAACAAACAGACAAAGGTTTTGCTACAGCAGTCAGATAGCAAGTCACTAATGTTTCTTTGTTGCATTTAAACATTTGTTTTTTGATATCAGATTGTTACCAAATAAGCTCAAGACAAGTGATTAAAGGTAAATGGGATGATTTTAAGACAGCTGCCATCCTGCAGGAGACTAATCTCTCAGCAGTAAGGAAATGAGGGATTATTAGTTAGAAGTCCAGTGAGAACAGGGTCAGCGTTTCAGAAGAGATACATTTGTAGAGACGCTACTTTCCAAAGGCAACAAGCACCTGAAAAAAATGCCGTTACTCAGAAAATCACCTCTGTTAGTACAAAGTAATATAAACAGAGGAAGCGAAATACAGAAGGAAATGAAAACAATCTGCATTTCACTTGTATTTAAGAATTTGGATAACCAATAGAAAGTGGAAGATTTCAAGAATGGGCAAAAAGACAAAGTGATGGTGAATAAGTACAAAGCTTTGCTCTTACTTGTTGCCTGGGTATTCCTCCCAGTCTGTCCTGGGATACTGAGAGCTTTTGATTTTATGACGTCACGTTCAGCATGGGAAAGGTGTTTTGCTTTCTGACCATCAGCAGTTAAGCCTTTAGCTTTCTGCCCTTCTACTGAGGTGATGCCTAAACTTTGGGTTCCACTTGCACCTGGGATCAGTTGTCCAAAGCGCTCCTCTCCTTGTACTTGAAGATTTAGAGAACCATGACCATGGTTTTCTACAGCAAGAGTCCCATGGCTTTTAGCCCCTTTTGTGTCTTTAGCCACAAACCTGAGGTCTTTGACACCCCGCCCGTCTGCTACAGAAGATAAATAGTTTGCCTGACCTTGTGGAAGAGAGAATATATTGCGACTTGAATCCTGAGTTTGTGGCAGTCGAGCTGCACGTCCAAGATGCTTGCTGTTCTTACCAGAATGAGGCTGGGGCACTAAACTTTGAGTCCTCTGGGTTTCTAATCCCAAAAGCACATGGCGATTGATTTCCAATATTTCTGAGAAATCACTAGAGGATCCACAGTTTTTCTGATTTTGTTGGATAGATGAATCATAGTCTCTCGCACTCTGTACCTGAGAAGAAGCCGGACTTCTGATGGTGTCTATATCAAGAGGCAGCTGATGTCTTACACCTCCAGCAGCCATTGAGACCATAGGTTCAAAAGTTCCTTGTCCTTGTGAAACAGCCAGACCAAGATTTTTACTTTGTTTATCAAGGGGTGCCATTGGTCCAAGACTTGATGACGTAACTACTGGATCAAGGCTTTTGACTTCTCTTCCAGGTGGCAGTACAGCAGGTCTAAAGCCAGCTTCTGTCTGTAATTCAGTAGCAGTGGGACCATAGCTTCTCCCCATGTTGGGCATTTCAGGTCCAAGACTTCTGTCTCTTTTTCCATGCGGGTGACCTACTGCTCTGCTCTTTTCTCTCTTCAGATCTTGAACAGCTTGGCCCAGATTGGCCATCTCAGGTCCACCCAAATCTGCTGTAGACACACCTGGCAGAGAAATATCATCATGCATTCACGACTTCTTGGTGGCTCAGAGACAACAGTGTTTCTCTGAGGGTGAACAGCACACTGTAGTGACGAGTGGCAAAAAATTTTTTTTCTGATGTGTGTATCAGAGCATTCAGTGCAACATAACACATCATCCACAGAGTGATCAGTACTAAACGGGCACAAGGCAAAATCCATTATGGCTTGAAATTAGTCCAGTTTCATAGGACAGAATCATCACCATAATAAGGAACTGAGACAACACACATGTGAAGCCACTCTTTGGAAGGACACGGTACTTCACACTGAGTCAGAGCAATGACATCAACACATAAAACATGACAACATAATGTTGCCATCCCAAATTGTGGAAATGCCATAAAATACACACAGGACGAGACAAAGACACCACCAGACACAGAGAGCAGCATCAGTGTGGGACAAAAACAACTGAGAAAAAATCTGATTCTTCCTGAAACTATGGATATAAGGTAAGGTAAGGTAATGGATTTAAAACATTAGATAGCTCGCAGTAACCGGTTACCCCCCAGAGGGCAAATTAAGTGTGTGTGAATCATTTGTTTTTGTGAGTAAGATTTAGCAAAGATTGATTACAAGCGAGCAAAATACAGCTTTTGCAATTATCAGCGTATCGCCCTAAGCTCATTATAATCGAGTTGTTAATGTGTATTTACATATTTTCCAATAGCCCCTTCAGCACTTGTTAACCACAGCGCTAAGTACTCCACACACACCAACTCTCATTATCTATGATTAACTCTCAGACTGAATCTGTGTTAAGAAGAGCTGGGGAGCTCATGCAACATGCAACACAAACACTGACAGACAAACACAGTCAGACATCAGCATCTGAATCTCCCCTGTACACGCAAAAACACAACAGTGGAGCTGATGGTAATATTACAGTAGATAGGTTTCATGCAAACAAAAGCCAGCATGAACATGACATCAGTGAATTATAAGACACCAATTCCACAGGGAGGTCACAGACAAACACAACACAGGACAAAGACAGACAAAGACTAACAAACACAAAGACCACAGGTTGCTGGGGTGAAGGTTTTACCAGGTTTTTGCTCCTTAGCCCTGTGTCCAGTGGGATACCCAAGTCCAAGTCCTAATAATAGCAGATAGAGGAACTGTCATTGATTTCACTCAGCATGCCAACTGAAAAGAGACACCCAGGCCAGCACTATGGCCAGACAGGCCTACAATCTTTAGGCGTGTTTGCAAAGACGTGCATCACTGTAACAGGGGAGGTGCTAATAAAAAAGGCCCTCAGCAATAAGTTGGACATGGTTTTGCATGACTAGCTGCCTTAAAATGTGATAATAAACAATCTGATTGTCGTATTCTCTTTTGTGCAATCCGATAAACCTGATTTTATCCATGACTAACAGCATAAGTGTGTGTTTGTGGCAAGAGCGATGAGAAAATACCCTCCAGCATACAAATCTGAGCTGAATGGAAGAAGTAATGGGTTTGTGGGGAAGGACCTGATTCATTACTTACCTGGCTGCGCTCCAGGATAGCCAATGCCAGCTAGAGGCCCATATCCTGGCAAGAAAACAAAGAGCCAAGTTCAGAGGATGTGGGACAAATCTCTAAATCTGACAAGCACTCTGATTACATCACTTGTGCCCAGGGTTTTTCTCTGTTTTACAAGGACACATAATTTATTCGCTAAGATGCAATCTGCTCCATATATCATGTTCACAGACAGTGACAGAGAGCCACTTAGCTGAGATTTATCAAGCAAATAAGTATAGGGTTTACAGAGAGTGTAATTCGGAGTGTATACTCTCATTCGGGCAAACAATATAAAAAAACATATAATTACTTACCTGGCAGAGAGCCAAGGCCAGCGCCATAAACTAGAAAGTCACAAGCACACAGAGTTAATCTTGATTATTTACAAAGATTTCTACGGCTAAAAACTGTTTATGTAAGATCTGTCTTCATGCTTGCCTTCGTCTTTTTCCCTAAGACATTACACAGACTGCTTTTTGACAATTAACTGTTTCAGTGTAATGCCAATAAAAAGTTACAATAAACCCTTGCCATGTTTAAATAAAGGTAAAGGATTAAAGACACAAAAAAGGAAGACATGAACAATTCAGCACCTTTCATATAGCTGATTCATTTTAGCCTTTTCTTTTACTAGGGCTGAACAAAACGTATGAGAGACTACACTGGGTTGCCTAATGCCTAATGCCTCTATAACATGAATATTCATAACAAAACCCAGCAACAATCAAAGTTTGAGTTTGGGAAAAACATAACTTGTTAGTCTTTAGTTAAGTATCTTAAATATGTAGTTAATCTGCTGTATTAGAACTGTTGGGGTGTGGTTTGATCAGATTTGGATGATTGTGGCCTGGCAACACAAGCAAAAATAAACTCTGATTTAGATGACAGTTCAGATGACTCTGATTGGTGCACAGGGATGCGTGGCTTCCCCTTTTCCCACCTGAGAGCTGGCCACTTTAACCAGATGAGAAAAGCACAGACAAAAACAGAGATGCAAAAATCTCTCATGTGAAATGGCCAAAACTTTAACTTTAATGGGCCTTAAATATCACCACAATCAGTTTTTCAAATTGCAGTGAGTCAGGCTTTTACCTGCAGGTGCTGGACTGTTAATGAAATGTTCTTTATTTCTATTGCACGTATTTGTTGTTGTTGTTAATCATTGTTATTCTTCTACAGTTTTAGATTTTGTCAATTTACATATTTATGTAAATACAATATCCTCTCCCACGGCAATACGTCTGCACAACACAAACCCAGAGTAATACACAAGTAAATATCTGCCACGTTGTTCTTTCTCTGCACAAAGTTGTATTATTTTTTATTATTCTTTTATTATAACTTGCATCTGTTTGTTCCATATTTATATTTGTTTACATTTACACTCATATGTGTGAAATACTACTTGGCAGTAAAGCTCTTTCTGATTCTGATTTATCAAGCTTAAAGTGTGTTCTATAAATGTGTTTGATGGTCTATAAATGTATCCAATAGGTTTGGCTGCCACTGACTGTTGCTTATGTCTGTCTATATAACATTTTATTCATGCACATGCATGAGGGAACGTCTTACCACGTTTCCCTCCCTGGCCCAAACCCAGTCCCAGCCCATTTAGAAGTCCAGCCCCCAAAGCCATTCCTGTGCCCAGACTGGCCCCTGCAATCACAATAAATATGTTAGTTAAAAAAAAGGTCGTATTTTTATAAACAAGTTGTATTGTCTACAAAGAGCAAATCAGTAAATTACAGCAAAAGTCAAGGGAAGATAAATAACAAGGAAGCAGGCTGTGAGAGTTTGATAAGCAGTTATAATGATGTACCATAGGCTCCCTGGGTTCCATGTCCACCTTGCTTTGGGCCTGCTCTACCTCTGTAACCTCCTGTGAAAACAATAAAAACAACACATTTCACAATGAACAGCAGAGTCTGCCAGAAATCATCATCATTCAGGCTTAAGATGCACAGATTGTTTCTATGAATCAGAACTGGAGGGAGGTTTGTTTTTTTTTCACTTTCACCTTAAATGATGGAAAAAGTTTAATTTAAAGTTTAACTAAGATTTGTTAAGACAACTTACCAACACCAAGCTGAGCCCCTGGATAATGTCCAACTAAGATGTTTTTTTAAAAAGGGAGGGGGAGAAAAGATAAAAACATTAATCATATGAGGTAAAAGTAATATACAGTAAAACAATGTTGTGTGCTGAAAGGTAGACATACTTCTAGTCTTCATTGCTTTGGTGCCATACTGGCTCCCCAGTGCACCTGCTACTGAAAAAAGTAGAAACAGAATCAGTCTGTGATTTTATTATGCCATTTAATATCCATCAGCTGTGTACTAGTTCTAACTTGAAGCAAGAAATATGCATTTCCTTTACATTCATTAAATAGATTATGTGTCATGTGTCAATTTAAAGTGAAAACTTTTAACATGAACCCTCAGGACATATTTTAAACATGTCTGATATGTAACTAATTACCCAAATGTAAATCTTACTACATCCAGGTTACATGTCACATATAGTACATCTGTACATGATGATGATGATGGTGATGATTATTAATTAATTATGCGATTAATATTACATGTGGCCTCTTTAATTGTTCTGGTGACTTATCTGTAAATCATAGGATTTGCACATGTAAACAATGCACACTTATGCATCCACAAAGCTATAAATCAGTCAATAAAGGTGCTAATCATGTGGCATCATTTGTACTTTAGACATTAGTTAACCATGTAGCTTTGGTGTAATGGTGTAACGCGTGCTGAGAAAGCCACTGACCCCCGGGTTTAACTCCGATGCCAACACCTGATGAAAAACAAAACACAGACACAAAAAGGAAAGACATGTACTTGATTAAATTTCACATTTAAGGAAAATGTTTGTTTTGTTGTTGCTGTTTCCAAGAGTTAATAATATTATGACAGTTTAGTCTGTGGCTACAAACCAAAAAAAAAAGTTGAATACTTGAAAAAACTTTATTTGATAGGAGCCTAGCTGGTATTGCTCATGTTCCAAGCTAACAAAGCTAATCTAAAACAGACCTTTAAAAGTCATAAATTACACGGTCATGAACGGAGCGAATCTACTATTTGTCAGTCTTCAAAGTAATTAAAACACGTATACATGCTTGGAGAACATTTAAAAAGTTTGTGACATACCTCTGGCTGGTAGCACTCTCCCCCAGGCTACACTTTGAGGTCTAACCCCTGAAAAGAGCAATACACAATAACAATGTACCATTTGTGGAAATTTGTTCTTTTAATTTGTCAAAAGACCAAAATTTATAAATTATTCAAAATTATTCTTGCAGTATAAAATGGACCAAGAGACCTGCTTGTTATTTTATAGTAGGACATAAATTAAAATTAAAATCACCAAACTACAGACAGACACAATACACAGATTAGTATATTAAATATACGTTATACCTACATCCACTGCATGCAAATTATGATAATAAAAATAAAGCATGCATGAGAAACACTATATCCAACACAGTGTGAACAAACAATTTGCAAGTGTGGTCAATGAAGTTCCACACACTTTTTTAAACTGGTCTTGTTATTTATCTTAAAAAATAATTGACTTTTGCTGCAGGAAAGGTTTGGAGTTCTGTTACAGTAATTCTTTTTTTCTCTTTTTTGGCAAAGATTTGTTGGCTTGATGGTTTGATGAAATGTCAGTAATTATATGTTTTGATTAACTTACTTTTAGGCCATAACCTCCTTGAATACTATCCTCAATAAGGTACATGCTTTGAGTGACATGTGGATGACAACATGAATTACTTCAAACTACTGAGTATCACAAATACCACTGTAGAGTTTCAAGAATATCGCAATCTGACTGGGCAACAGTAGGAGAGAAGAACAGCGATGCATTGATGGATGAGACTAAATGGAGCGACTGTGTGGAGCCTGTTACTTCATCTCACGATTGGTCGTCAAATTTTACCTGCTGCTGCCATCTTTTCATCGCATCCTTTGACTCAAAGAAATTAGATAATATAAAGCGCAGTGACTTGGCAGGATCACTCAATCTCACAGACATGATATCTGACAAGTAAGTGAGAGAGAGTCACTGGAGATGCTGATCCATCTGGGCTTTCAAGGTGAAATCATACTGCTTTCATTGATCAAGTTAACTTGTCCCTCAAAATGACAAACACCTTATCACATCAACAACAGCTATAACGTATAAATACTAATTGAGTAAATACACCAATGGCAATGAAAATTTACCAAACATCACCCCAAGTCTGTGCAGAAATGACCAGACTGTGCTTTACATTTTTGATATTGTTTAATTTCAATAAATATTTCAGTTTTGCAGCAACTTTTTCTTTTTGAATGATTATATCCTTTACAACCAAAAAGCTAAATTAATATTATTACACAAATGTGACTAGTACACATAGTAATCTAAAAACTCCATCAACCAAATCAGATAAATATAATTATTTTAAATGATTACAAATAATACTTGTACTAATTAGTAAGAGATGCCAGCAGCGGAAATAAACAGGATGTTTTTCAACAAGAGCATAGACAACAAAAATGGTCCAGATCATAGTTTTTGTGCAGACATAGTGTTCAAGACAAGCTGAAAAATTATCAAATAATACTCTCAAGTTTGAACAAAATTGAATTGTTTATAAAGCTGTATAGAGCCAAAGTTCTGTCTTTACTTATGTAATCCCTTGTTTTTCTTACCGCCTTGCAGAGTAAGCTGAGCCAACCAGAGAACCAGCGAGGTCTGGAGTAGAGCTCGAACCTGCATGATAGAGGAGCCGGGGTACAAAATACTGAGCTGCACTGACAGAGAGCAGAGAGAACAAATGATGAACGATGAACGACTGGATGGATACTTAAAGCATGACTACCCCTGATGTCTTATATATGATATTCTCTTTGATACACTCCCACTGCGTGGTCCTGCCCTCTGCACACACACACAGGTCTGATTGGGCAAAGCCAAAGGTCCATTTCGGTCCATTTCGATTAGCTGAGAACGCACACACACACACTGGATATAGATCCAATGCTTTCTGCCACAGTAACAAGGGAATAGAGGACATAAAAAGCAAAGCAACTGGGTTAAAAAATTATTTTAGTAGACTGAGAGCCAGAGAGGAATGTCATTCTTGTGAATACAGTGTTAAAGAGCAAACACCCAGTGTGTCTTTCTGAGTTTTCTGCCACTTTCTGCGCTGTTAAAAGAGTCAAGGATTCAGGATTCAACGGTTTGTCCCATATACAGGTAATAAGTGTGGTGAAATGCAATTACGCGTGCTCCAAAGGTTGTGCTGAAAGACTACTGTGAAATACGAAGGATTATGAAAATGAAGATTTTGTTTTTCTTCAGTCTTTCTCTGTGTTGGGCTTGTGGTTATAGAGGCATTCCCTTGAGCACAGAAGCTGGGAGTCTCTTGCTGGGGAGGTGAGGATGCTTCAAATCTTACCAGTGCTGGTTCTGCACCTTCTAGTGTATAAGTCCTACACAGTGGGGACTGTCCATCAAATGGTATGCTCTGCTGAATACACCACTCTCAGTAATGCTCTGTGGTCTAGCAGAGCAGTTCCCTGACCAGTGGTGGTGAAGACCTTCTACTTTGGTGCTGTGGAGGCTTTCCACAACACAGTAGAAGGCGTTGATGCAAAATGAAAATTTGTTTGGAGAAAATTAGGTTTCAACAGATGGGTTTAACTCAGCTCCCCCACAAACAAACTCACATGCGTCAAAGATTGTTAACAACAGACCTGTTTTTCTTGGGTTTTTATTGGGAGAGTAAATATTACACCTTCTAAAAACAAGAAGGGGAAAAGATTGACAGCAAACAAACATAATCTTTTTAAGTAATGTAAATATCTGAAATGTGTACACTGGAAATTGCAAAGTAAACATTACATCCTTTTTGTGTTTATGTTTGTAGGTGTTTGTTGGGGGGGGGTCATAACAATTTAGTAAAAAACATGCAACAATAAATGTTTAATATGGAAACACACACACACACACAAACTTTACCGCTGCAGAAATAGCCCTTAAGGCTGCCACCCCAATTAAACGTAATTTTCAAGGTGTTTCCATGGTTTTCTACAGAAGAGCGTTGTAATTTCATTTGAAACAGGCTGTCGGCTGTCATTGGGCTCTCAGGGGCAACATAGTGTGTGACTACCATCTGTTGAGACTGTGTATAAGAAGCATTAGCCCATGATGGTATCAACTCCAATACTCATCCTATAGTGTGGGAGGTCCTTTGTGTAACAGCCATTTCTTCATGTAATGTTTAAGTTTATTTCTAAACCTCAGGCAAGGCAGCGCTCAATGCAAATGGTTATGGGTTGAAAGAAGGCCGTTGTTTTTAAGCCACCTGAGGAAAACTGATGTCTCATGTGCAGACCACCACATCGTCTTCCCTGGTGGTACTGAGAACAAGACAATAACATAACCCACGTCTGACTCACGACTCCTTCACCCATGATTCACCTCTAAACATTTGTCTGTCTGCATGTTTGAGAGATCCCTATTAAAAAAGTATGAGTATCAATTTTTCAAGGCGAGATGTCAGAGCTTTGAAAAGAGGAGCTGATTGTTGTCTGCAGACTGTGTTGGCAGGGAGAGCAGTGTCTGTGGAGACACATCTGGCTGGCAGTTACACTGTGGTCTGTCATATAAGAAACATTGTGTGCCCCAATATATACATACAAACTACATTCTGTGTGTGTTCGTGTGCTGTCCTTATGTGTCCTTTATGGTTGAAAAAGGTAAAAAAAATAAATTTTAAAAAACGCTTTAGTAAAGAGATTTGAATTTTCTCTTATGCACCGGGATCCGTGGACAGAAAGGATAGACTCAAGATTATGTTTAGTACATCAGATTTACCAAACAGGATGAACGTGATTTTTGAAGGTTGGCCTAACAATAAAAACTTAAAATAGCTTTATAAAGTTCACCATTTAAGTCCCAATAAAGATGTAACATCACTGGTATCTGCCCCTGGTCAGTGCTTTTGCAACATAATAGAAAAGTGCATAACATTTTTGTGACCTACATTGAATAAATGCAATATGTAGCAAATATATATGCAATTTTACCCTAGTATA